AAAGCCCCATGAATCGGAAAATCATGTAGGGTCAATATCCAAAATCTGAATAATAAGAGCAAGCAATTTTAATCTCGACAAACAGCAATTGACATCTTACAATTACCGAAAGAAATCAATACCGGAACCGGCGGTGCCAGCCACAACAGCCTGCATGTACCTCTCCGGCAGCTCACCAGCAGAGCCAATCACCCCACCCTGCACGACGGCATCAGCAGCTCCACACAAGACCACCGATCCGATGGTCACATAGAACCCCTCGTACAACCCGACCCGGCCCTGAATGTAAACCACGTCCATAACTGGAACCACAAGCAGGGTCAGCACAAAAAGGACCAAACCCAGGTTGATCCTTAAATGTGCGTTAGACTTGTGGGAATACAAGATAATGAAGACGAGGCAAATGAAGGAAACCCCCATGTAAACAACAGCAAAGATGCGATCGACGCTTGCATCTGGGTAGAGATAGGAGAAGTAGTCAATAGCCGTGACAAAAGCGTTCCACGGAAGGAGGTAACCAAAGCCCAAGGTAAAGTAGATTATATAGGCCAAATGGAATGAATCTTTGGGAACCTTATTGGGTGTCACAGCGACGGATGTAGTCTCCAGAAGAGAGGTCGATTCCGAATCTCCATCGGCGAGACCCATCGGAGATTCAAACAGTCCGGATCTAGGTAGGGTGAGTTGACGTGGGCGATACTGCAGAATAACTATGAATTGCGAAGTGTAGCAATCTGGATAATTTGGGTCGACCTAACAAGATTAGGAATCTAGAACTAAAAAGAGGAGTGATTGGCGCGCTTTAGCTTTTGCCTTTGGCTTTGCATTTGCATTTGGGGAGTGGGGACTCGGCTCGGAGTCCTCAGCCGTGCAGGTATCAAACAACCACCACCCAATTATATTTACGATTCTTATCCTGCCGTGACTCGTCACATTCCATTACCTCCTGATCTCAGCCGTTCGTGTCCAATGGATGAACAGCTGAGATCCTTAGTTGAAATTAGTTTATTCCAACAAAAACTGCCGAGGGATACTTGCGTCCTCTTGGTTTAGGTAAATATTATTCAATTGCTCTGGCGTCCCCCAAAACCAAAGGCATAATTGTATATTTCCGTTTCATCCGGAAGGCAGCCTTTAGGTTGCCTTAGCAAGTAATCTCCTTTTTTATTAGAGAAGGCAACGAGCATAGGCAGCACCACCCTAACAATTCCATTGGCTACAGTTTATGAATCAATATCTTAGTTCAAAATCTCTGTTGTGCGAAAGAGAGAGAAAAAGAACGAATCAAGAAAGGATGATTATTATACTTATGGAATCTTGATTCTAAATTAGACATAGAAGCAGAAACAAGATTTGTGAAATAATGATTCATTTAGATTAAAACTGGCATACATTTTATTTTATTGATGCCGATGTGAAGAAAAAAGAAGGGGAAAAAGCATGCATGGGGATCCATCCTAAAGCCAAGCAGGGTTTTCCAAAGGAGTGACAACAGCCTTCACTTGCAGGTAATTGCTGAGGCTGTAAATGCCCTTTTCTCGCCCATGTCCGCTCATCTTGTACCCTCCAAAAGGAATTGCAGCATCAAATATATCAAAGCAATTGATCCACACAGAGCCGACTCTCAAAGCACGCGTCAGCCTGTTGGCTGTGTTGATGTTTTGAGTAAACACCCCTGCGGCCAGCCCATAGCGACTAGCATTTGCCCTCCTTATCACCTCCTCGATCTCTCTGCACTCACCAAAAAACTGAGTCAACCCTTATTCATCATATTCATTTGGAAGGACTCAAAATTAGAAACTAGTTTCCACTTACTTGTATTTCAAGATTGTCTGTACAGGACCAAAAATCTCCTCCTGTGCAATTTTCATGTCATCCTAAATACACAGAATGATGATGTTAGAAGGAGAATGCTTAAAATATTATAACAAGCTAACAAAAAGATACGGACCTTGACGTTTGAGAAAACTGTTGGCTGGACATAGTAGCCCTTGGAACCGAACCTCTCTCCTCCAGCTTCAAGGGTGGCTCCTCCTTCAATTCCAGATTTTATATATCTCAAAATCTTTTTGAATTGTTCCCCATCCACCTGTGCATGATTTCACTCACAAACATGTTGGTTGAGTTGGGTCTAAAAGAAAGAAAGAACTACTGGTAACACAACTTGCTCCCTCACCTGAGGACCTTGCTCAATTCCACCTAGGAACGGATCACCAACAACGCGGTTCACAGCCCGTTTCCTTGCTTTTTCAATAAATTCATCATATACTTTTTCATGAACAAAAGTACGAGAACCAGCACAGCAACATTGTCCCTGTAAGAGAACATAATAGTTTTAGTGGAAGATGAATGTGGTTGTGACCATACGATCAATGTTGTTTGACGAACCTGGTTGAAGAAGAGAGCGAAGTGTGCCATCTCCACAGCTTTGTCAACATCAGCATCCTCACATACAATGAAAGGGGATTTTCCTCCAAGCTCCAATGTTACAGGCTTCAGATTGCTTTTTGCAGCTAGTTCAAGTACTACTTTCCCTGTTTCGGTTGATCCAGTAAAAGCAAGCTGGGAGAACAAGAGATTTTATTTTTATTTTTATTTTTAGAATAGACCTTCTCAATACAACCAACTATGAGTCTTGTAATAATAACTACCTTATCAACTTCCATATGACTGGCAAGAGCAGCACCAGCGGTGGGTCCATAACCGGAAACAATATTCAGAACGCCCTCAGGTAGTCCAGCCTGCCATTCAAAGATGCAATAGCTAAGCTTGATGTAAAGTAAGGAAAGAAGAGTTTTGATAATTGGGCATCTACCTCATGCAACAGCTTGGCCACATAGAGAGCAGACAAAGGTGTCTGCTCGGCTGTCTTCAGAACAATAGTATTCCCACATGCTAATGCTGGGCCAACCTTCCAAGCAAACATGAGCAGAGGAAAGTTCCATGGAATGATTTGACCTGCAACACCAATAGGTTCGTGCAAGGTCTGGACATTATACGAGCCATCAGCTGGAACAGTGAGTCCGTGAATCTTATCGGCCCATCCTGAGGTAAGTGTAGCGGATGCAGGTCTCATTAACACATTGATTGATAACTCCTGTTGTCCAAAAATTAAACCAAACATACCGGCGTAGTATCGAAAGATGCGTACAAACATTGGGACTTCCAGTTTTGCTGACTGTTCGTATGTTTTGCCATTGTCCCAAGTTTCGAGTGCTGCAATTTCCTCAGCATTTTTTTCAACCAAATCAGCAAACCGCAAAATTATCTTTGATCTTTCCTGCAGACGAGTTTTGGATTAGCCTACAGTTTAGTAGTGGGGAAGGAGCAGATATATGATGAGCTTACATAAGCAGTCATCCTAGGCCAAGGCCCTTCATCAAATGCCTTGCGTGCAGCAGAAACTGCAAGATCAACATCTTTGGCGTCACCTTCAGCAACATTCGCAATGACTTCCCCAGTCCTTGGATCGAATGTAGGAAAAGTTTTTCCTGAATTCACAAAAAACATAGTACATTTGGATTGACTTTCTAGTTACTTAAAAAGTGTTTCTAAGAAGCACTTCAAATGTGGGCTCAAATCAAATCCATGATGGACATGAGAGTGGACAAATTTCAATGATTTGAGAAACTGTACCTGAGATTGAATCCAGAAACTGTCCGTTGATTAATAGCTGGGTGTAATTCACTTTCACGGATGGAGTAATCGGGGTTTCAACAGCAGCCGAAGTGCTATATTTGCCAGTTGTTGTGCCTCCCAAAGGCCTCCTCCCTGATCAAACAGAGTTCCAATCAGTTTAACAGTTAAGGATCTATAAAAAGCAGGATTAGAAGAATGATCCAAAATAACAGAGGGGCATAAAAACAACATTCAAAACTCCAACTTTTCTCTTATCATAACATTCCCACTCAACACATCCGCACACAAAGGAAGGAGATACAGCTCTACCCGATCCCTTGATTCGCTTCACGGACTTGTCAAAGAGGAAAATTTTCATACGCTTTATTTTATTTTATTTTTTTCCTTTAATCGATTCGATCTCTCTGTTTGCGGATTAGAAAAACTGGAAAGATTTACCAAAAAAAGCTTAAAATTAAACATGATGACCGATGGTTTCAGTGTTTGTGTTACCTTTGGAAAGGAGAGCAGGCGAAGAAGCAAGGGAACGAGATAAGAGCGAGGATATCCTCCGACCCGCCATGACCTGACCGTGAAGAATCACCAAAAAAATCTTTCCGTTTGAAATAGTTCCTCGATGAGAAAGCTCGGGGAGTGGGTGTTGAATGATTGCTTTTGCACTGTTTTTTTTTTTTTTTTTTT